CCAGCACCTTTGCAGCGCCGCTCCGTCTCCCCAGATGTCCAAAATGCGAAAGTTGGTCTTTGGATTCTCGGGACCTGGTGATTTCTCTTCCCTTGATTCGTCCCCCCGCGCCGCCCCCTTTTGGTCCTAAGAGCTTGGGTTTTACGGGATGGGACTTGCTTACACCCCCACCCCACCCCCAGCAGGTTCCGTGACCTGCGCGGTTCCTCTTTGGAATTGCCAGATGCTTACATACAGCTGACTCTTTCGCCCTCGGCCCTGCTGCTGTAGCCCACATCCCTTCCGCTGCCGGGGGTACCTCGTCTCACCATCTAGTTTTCTACGTTTCTTCTAACTCCATCCTGTACGGACATTCTTGTCCCGGGCCACGGGATTAGCAGGCTGGGGTGTCTAGTTTCTAAATCTAATCAGGTGGGCCTCTTGGGTAAATGAGCCCAATGGCCCTTGCCAGGCTCTCCCTGCCTCCAGCGAGGCAGGATAATTCCAAAGTGCCAAGCGCCGCTGGACACACTGGCTGACGCCGAAGGAAACACACTGATTCCTCCCCGTCTTTTTCATGTGTTTCGTTCCTAGAACAAGAGGAAAGTATGGGGAAGGAGCCAAGCAGGAGACGTTCACTTTTGCCTTAACTTTGGTCTTCATCCAATGTGTGATCAACGCCGTGTTTGCCAAAATCTGTGAGTACCGAGCTAGTGTTCTGCGAGGTGCCCCCTCCCCTTCGTATCCTGGACTGTAGGCAGGGACCCAGCCTTAAGGTCTCACTCCCAAGGTCTCCCGCCCCCTTTAGCCCGTGCATGGCCTTTCTGTGGAGTCTCTCAAACGCGTGGCTCTGGAATGGAGTGAAGCCCTTTTCCCTGAAATTAGGCCACCTGGGTCAGATGTGCAGAGAATGGGTCCTCCGTCTTACAGCTGCCCGTTGAGAATACTTAACTTTTCTCGGTCCCTTTGGTTTTCCTTTAGGTGTCAACTTCAGGCATGTTTTGAGCGTTCTCCCTGCTTCCTGGGGACTAACAGCAGGCTAACTAGTCCCTTGAAGGGAATGATTCTGTGCCCCACCTCTGCCCTGCGTGTGGTCTTGTGTTAGGCTTAGGTGGGATTGGAGCGTTGAATCAGTGGTTCTCAACCTTCTGGCCCTTTAAATACAGTTCCTCATGTTGTGACCCCAACCATAAAATTATTTTCGTTGCTACTTCATAACTGTAATGTTGCTACTGTTATGAATCGTCATGTAAATATCTGATATGCAGGATGGTCTTAGGCGACCCCTGTGAAAGGGTCATTTGACGG